GTGCATCAAAGCTGGGACAGAGAGACTGAAAAGCAGCTTCTATCTCAAGGCCAGACTGTTAACAGAGAGGCTGCTGCCTACATACAGACTTGAACATCACTGGCCACTTTACTAAATGGAACACTAGTCACTTTAAAAATTCAATTTTAATGTTTACATATCTTGCATTACCCATCTTATATGTATATACTGTATTCTATACTATCTATTGCATCTTAGACTATGCCACTCTGATAATGATATTGCTCATCCATATATGTATATATTCTTATTCCATTCCTTTACTTAGATTTGTGTGTATTAGGTTTTTGTTGTAGAACTGTTAGATATTACTTGCTAGATCTTGCTACACTGTCGGAACTAGAAGCACAAGCATTTCGCTACACTCGCAATAACATCTGCTAACCATGTGTATGTGACCAATACATTTGATTTGAATGATCTCACTGGGTTGCAAAGTTTTGATTAGTTCAACTAATATTGCGTCTTAAAACAACCATGTGTTTAATTTGTTTCAGATTTTGTGACAGGGTGAGAGGCACATTTTAAAGATTCAAATGACAAATCATAATGTGTGTCAGTAGGGTGTGTGAAAGTGACTCGAGCACACAAAATGGTGCTGAACCAGGATGTTAATTTAACTGTCATGTAACTGTCGTCCCAATTACAAATGCCTGACCAAATATTTACAAATCCAACTTTAATATCCCGAGGCCATTTGTCATCACTAAGGCTTGGCTTGTCCAACAAAACACTATAGGTAACTAGGTTTCAGACCGATTTCTGAGCTACTCCAAACCAGCTGGCAAAACTGGTTGCAATGTCATCATCATTATGACATCACATGGCACATTTTGCCTGCTGGGAAGACAAGGTCCCTGGACTCCCTGAGGTTTGTTGGTCTATCCTGTGTCATAAACTACTGTACAAAGAAGCCCATTCCCACCTGCAGAACGATATATAACTATCATCTTAAACTGTTTGTAAAATGGAGGATTGACAAAGCCACAAGTGGAGAAAGGGAGGAAAGAGAGAAAAAAAATGGGGGGAAAAAGGCCTAGAGATGAGGAGGGGGGGGGGGGTAGTGTGCCGTGTGCAATGTTCCTCTACATAATAACAGGAAGAGCAGGCGGAAAGGAGCAGGCTCCTTTGACAGACGAGTAACCACAAAGGGGAAACAGACCAGAACACTAGAGAGCAAAGGTCACAAAGAGGAATGCTGACGTTTTTAACACAAAAGCTGATTTCTGATCTCTGCCAGACACGATCATGAGCTTCATCTGCAGTGCATTACAGGCTAGGGCCTGAGAGAGTAAAGGAAAGGTAGGCTTGGAAAATGACTCTGCATTTGGCCTGTTAGTAATGATCTGCTATACTTCGCTGCATTCATCATAGACTGAATAGACTCCATGCAGAGATGGGAGCGAGGAGCAGCTGTTGTTGCACATTGGGTGTTTGACCAAATCTAACAACAGTCAGTGAGGACAATCGTTTTCCCGCTAACGTGGAAACCAAATATGGAAACTACCATCTGAAGTTGCGTTAATAGTGCTATTGCTGAGTAAGCCATCAGCAGTATCTGATTTTGCTGAATGATGTCTTGCAGAACACAATGACAGCCCTGCTCTGAACATGTTTACAGAGAGAGAGAGACAGAGTACAATGGAAGCTTGTGGTCATATTTCAATCATGTTGATGTAAGCCAGTTTGTTTCCCCTTCTCTCATACAGTGTGTTGCTTCAAGACTGCTTTCCACCTTCCTGTTGTTTGTTTATATGACTGGAGTACAACACAAAGAAAGAGATTAGTGCATGCCAGGAACAGTGACGTTGACTGTTTCCTGTTGTCTTGGTCTTGTTGCACACACGCATCCTATCCCAGCTGTCAATAAGAGACCGTACAGTAAACCCCTGTGCTGTGCCCTCTGTGAAGCTGAGGATACAAGAAGAAGAGAGCTCCACAATCCTGGTGTGGCTGATTTTTGCATCATTAATACATCCAACCAAACATGTAATATGACACCTGTCTATGACTGCTCAAAGAGCGTCAATCAAAACCTCCCTTTCTGTCAGGTTACTTTAAGTAACATTAGTGGTCTTTCATCAGTTGATGTTTTGACGGAGAGAAAGTGAAAGGTAGGCTACTTGACTTGATTCTGTTAGAGGCAAACACCAAGGCAGCTGGCCTGAGTCCATGTGTTGGCTGTCACGCACTACTCCGCCACAATGGGGAAATGGAGGAAGTATACCCTCTTTCCACACAGCAGCACTGGAGAAAGTGACCACTGTTTACACTCTCGCATGCACCACACACACGCTGTGGGCGCAAGTAAGCTAGGACAGGGGTAGGCCCAGTGCTTAATTCGAGCTGGATACTGCCGGAACAGAATCTGGCACCACTCCGTTTTGGACTGTTTCATTCCGGAACCTACTTGGCCGGATCCGGTACCTCTACATCAAAAATTAATAAAAACACTAATGGGAAGCACAAATAAAACATCACAAATCACCCAGAAAAACAGTTACATTCCTCCACAAATAAGTCCCCAATCAATACTTTAAATTGCCCAAACGGCACCAGTATATTAAGATGAAATGTATTTTGAATTTTGTTCTAGCAATACGGTGCATTAAAACTAAACTCCTGCATAGCTATAAAATCTGACTGTAGTTTTGACACAGACAGATCAACAGTCGGGGCAATAGCATACATAATAGTATCATCCGCATAGAGATTAAGCTTACAATTTTTAACAATTGACCAATGGTGTTTATATAAATTGTGAAGAGAATAGGTCCCAAAATCGACCCCTGTGGTACAACTTTATGTACTACAAGAAATTCAGACTTAACCCCATCAATCACGATGGCCTGAGTTCTGTCACTAAGATAACATGAACAGGCATCAGAGCTCAGGCCTATCGAGGACAACATTCAATAAAATAGCATGATCTACAGTATCAAAAGCTTTTGACAGGTCCACAAACAAAGCAGCACATTTCATTTTAGTTTCTAAAGCATTGACAAGATCATTATGAATTAAAGTGGTTGCTGTAATACTGCTATGCCCAGGCCTAAACCCTGATTGGTTTACATTCAAAATACATTTCTCAGATAAAAAAAGAGCAGTTGTACATTTACCAGGGATTCAAGAATCTTAGCTAGACAAGGAAGCCTTAATAATATATAATATGCCATTTAGCAGACGCTTTTATCCAAAGCGACTTACAGTCCTGCGTGCATACATTTTTTTTTTATTTTTTTTTGTGTATGGGTGGTCCCGGGGATCGAACCCACTACCTTGGCGTTAAAAGCGCCGTGCTCTACCAGCTGAGCTACAGAGGACCACAGAAGCCTTGAAATGGGGCGATAATTATTCATTACTACTCTAATCTGTCTATAGGCTATCAAAATATTTTATCAACTTCCAAATAGGCCTATTGAGCGAACATTGTTTTACAAAGTAAAACAAGAGAAAGAGGCTTTTGGCACAAGAGTATTCGCCATTGCCGGCTAGTGAGCTGCGCAACATTGGGTCAGGTCAGTGAAAGTGGAAAGCTTTTCTAGGACTATAATTTCCTCTTGTACAATATGTCTCCACACGCCTAGGCTATTGATGGATTTAAGATGAGGTCGTTTTTATTGATCTCAGATTATCCGTTTTTCAATGTCAAAGTAGGCTGTCATTTCGATCATTTGTGCGGTATTAAAAAAGATTATGCTAAAGCCTCCAGTCATATAAAATGAGGTAGAATTGCATGAAATGTGTTTATAAAAAAGGCAAAATTCTTCCCGGACCCAAGTACAAAAAAAAAGCTACTTCTGTAGCGCCTCTACTCTAATACTCTATGCCACTACACAAATGTGATGATAGGCATGCACTGCTTTATTATAAAGGTGACTTCCCAGGTCACCCCCCTCTCGCGCTCACTTTTTGTTCCGGCACCTCCCGTTTTATAAGCACTGGGTAGGCCTAGGACTTGTTTATATTCTTGGGCCCTCGGAATGTAACTAGGCCTATAACCGGTAGTGTGCCTCCACAGATGTGAGCAGACAAAGCATACAACAGAACTGATTATGACATTCCATAACTGGTGCTATGGTCATTATTTGTGAGGCCCTGAGGCTCTGGCCAACACGTGTTAGCTCTTTTTTCAAACAATGACACTCACCAATGAATCTCGGATGACCTCACTCTTGTAAAAGTCTGCAAGGGAAGGAGAAAAGCCAGGTTAGATTTATTTTAAAGCTTTCTCAAGCAGAGACTGAATAAACACACAAAAGCTCAAACAATACTTGTGAGGATGCAACTCCTGTCAGGACTACAATGTTGGGAGGAGTCCTATTAAAGTGTTTGCACAGCAAACGTTTCTAGGATTACCTGACAACAGTAAGCCCTGAGGTTTAGCCTCGATCTGGGTCATTGTTGGTCATTGACTTCTAATGAAATGATTTTCCCTTAAAGTAAAAGTGAAAGACCACATTTACTGGAGCATCAGCATCCCCTAACGAACCAAACCCGTGTGCATTTAACTACACAGCGTAATGAGACTCTGACCTTTCATCCACTTATGAGAGTAATGCAGTCCACCTTAATGCTGAACATTTAGACCTAAAAGGTGCTCTGGCACCAAGAGCTGAAGTCTAACTTGAGATGTCCGCATACTAACATGGCTTTTGGGTTAAATTATGCAATCATGTCAATGGAAGTTTCTCGAAAACGTGAGTAATTTTTTTTTTTTTTTTGTCATTTAGCAGATGCTCTTATCCAGAGCGACTTACAGTTAGTGAGCACATACATTTATTTATTTTCATACTGGCCCCCCGTGGGAATCGAACCCACAACCCAGGCGTTGCAAACGCCATGCTCTACCAACTGAGCTACACGGGACCTATGTGCACAGAACTCAAGTTAGGATTCAAGGCCAAAGACATGTTAAGTCTATTTGTAGTGTGGACTGACTGGTCTCAGTAGTGTGAAAGTGGTATTAGTGCAGTGGCCTAGTACACTGTCTTACAGAGACAGCGGAGACAGTACTGTACAGTACCTCTGGATATCCGGTCCTGTAAGCAGAGATGAAGGGTAAAATATGTGTCCAGTAGTGGAGAGCCATTCTTGTTGACGATGTTGCGGGCTGCAATGCTTCTGAGATGACGTAACCGCCTCTGTTAGGGAGAGAGAGGCAGACGGTGAGATAGTCAGGAAAAATAGATGAGAAATAGAAGAGGCAGAGAGGCAGAGCTGGAGAGTCAGGGAAAGGGAGCAGGAGAGAGAACATTTTAATGGTCTGCCCAAAACAAGGGGGCAGTTTGTAAGCCTAATGAGTCCGTTTCAATGCCTTTACAATTTTATTATCACCTTCAAGAGTCTCTTCTCGTTACACAATCCAAATTGATGCATATCAACTTACAAAACTGTTACCCTATGAACTAGCCTAATTCACACAGGATAAACATACTGTAGCAGCCAACCAGAAGACACAATGTCATATAGCAAAGTCATTACTGTTCATCAGGGGTCCCCAATTACATTCAGCCGTGGACCTATTATTCCTGGAGCGGATGGTCGGGGATGCGGAACATAGTTATAAATCATTTGTACACTGCAAATTGTCCACAAGAATCCCAAACAGATATAGTATTTGACCAAAACAGAATAATTTCAAACCTTGATTACATTGCGATACGATCACATATACTGTACCTCTCTATTTATGCATGGGAATACTTGGGAACAGATTTCCTAAATTAGAATACATTTGAGCTGATTTCCTCATGATTTTACAGTCTTTTATGCCCCCACCCCCACCAGAAAGTGTGTGTGTGTGTGTGTGTGTGTGTGTGTGTGTATATACTACCGTGCAAAAGTTTGGGGTCACTTAGAAATGTCCTTGTTTTCTAAAGAAAAGCAAATGTTTTGTCCATTAAAATAACATCAAATTGATCAGAAATACAGTGTAGACATTGTTAATGTTGTAAATGGCTATTGTAGCTGGAAACGGCTGGTTTTTAATGGAATATCTACATAGGCGTACAGAGGCCCATTATCAGCAACCATCAGTCCTGTGTTCAAATGGCACGTTGCGTTTGCTAATCCAAGTTTATCATTTTAAAAGGCTAATTGATCATTAGAAAACACTTTTGCAATTATGTTATCACAGCTGAAAAATGTCGCATGGAATAGCCTTCATTTCTCCGAACAAGAATAGACTGACGAGTTTCAGAAGAAAGTTATTTGTTTCTGGCCATTTTGAGCCTGTAATCGAACCCACAATTGCTGATGCTCCAGATACTCAACTAGTCTCAAGAAGGCCAGTTTTATTGCTTCTTTAAATCTGCACAACAGTTTTCAGCTGTGCTAACATAATTGCAAAAGGGTTTTCTAATGATCAATTAGCCTTTTAAAATGATAAACTTGGATTAGCAAACACAATGTGCCATTGGAACACAGGACTGATGGTTGCTGATAATGGGCCTCTGTACGCCTATGTAGATATTCCATAAAATAATCACCCATTTCCAGCTACAATACCCATTTACAACATTAACAATGTCTACACTGTATTTCTGATCAATTTGATGTTATTTTACTGGACAAAAAAAATGATTTTATTTCGAAAACAAGAACATTTCTAAGTGACCACAAACTTTTGAACGGTAGTATGTATATAAAAAAAAAAATTTGGGGGGGGTGCAAATAAAATCACCTGAGGGATGAATTTGGCCCACCTTATTGTGGAACCCTGCTGTACATCCTCACGTTAAAAATAAACTGTAATTTTAGAATACGGTGGGTCAGTTGGAGATAACTTGAAGTATCTGGTTAAACCGTCACAGGTAGGCTATCAACATTTGCCAAAAAAAATAAACATTTTATGGAATGATTCACGTCTGGGAATAACTGACCATAGATGCAGACAAGAGTTCCATTTCAAAGCAGAGTTCATGTTTTGACTTCACTGTGTGTTTCCCTTACAGAAGCCTTGCACACACAAGAGTGTCACAGTTTCGTCAACTAAAGCTCAAGCACAAAAGCTATTTGTACAGTATGGTCTCAGAGTAGAAAACCCATAATGCCTCGGCTCATTAAAAATGTTTCAATGCACTGACAGAACATGGCATCACCATGGTTGGATATCAGTCAAAAATCCACCCTTCAAAAACCTGCTGAGCCTAAAATAAAAGGAACCGGCTTGAAGAGAATGGCTCAGTTATGTCCAATCAAAAAAAAGATAGGCTAACTGAATAGCCTAACTAAATAATACATTTTTTCACGTAGGACTGCATCTATAAAAAAGAATGGCTCCAAATAAAAAAATGAATCATTGAGAGTGGTTAAGTCAAGAGAATGACCATGGGACATGACACGACACCCGTGAAAAGAGGGGCCATTGAACAAGGTCCCCCCTCAGGGCAGCAGCATCAGAGAAGCAGCAGGACTTTACGTCAATGGCCGGCCTTCACCTGATCTGCATTCTTCAATCACCAGCAACTCACACTGAGCTTCCACCACCACAGGCATTAGGGATAAATCTAAGTCATGGGATTCCCTATAAGATTACAGCCCTCGAAACAAAAACACAGCTTGTTCAGCAAAGGCTTTTTTTCCCCCTCTCAAAAATGTCAGAAGACGTTTCTCTGAACGGGCTAATTTGTAGCTATGAGAGCAAAGAGGGTCTCCAGCAGAGCATATAATCTAGCTACTGTATAAACCTAGGCCTACTGGTGATCTTTAGCGCCAGGACAATGCCAGTATCAAAAATGAAAACACCAAGCAGACCAAACTCTTTGGTGCTTTAAAAACCTGCTGTATATAAACTATTGTGTGCTTTAGCTTGGGAAATAAATACATGTGACTCTGGATGACAACATACTGATGTTTGTTTCCACCATTAGGGCTGTTTTCCTAAAGAAGTTAAATCCGCTTCGTGTTTTGTTTCCTTGCCACGATACTAACGAGTATCGCGATAGTGGTATTGTCCCGGCCCTAGTCATTGTACTGTGAAGGTAAATGGTTGACTCCGTCCAGGTGTAACAGTGCAGATGCAAAGATTGGTAACATAATGACGGTTTGTGCTGTGCACAGTAATTATGTTACCAAACTTTGCATCTGCAATGTTTTTACACTCCTCAATTGTCCAGTGTTGGTGATCGAGTGCCCACTTGAGCCGCTTCTGGTTGTACTGCGCCATTATTTGCCTGTTTGTAGCCCGCCTGTTAGCTTGCACGTTTCTTGCCATTCTCCTTCGACCTCTCATCAACGAGCCGTTTTCGCCCACAGAACTGCCGCTGACTGGATGTTTTTTTGTTTGTCTTACCATTCTTGGTCAACCCTAGACACTGTCGTGCGTGAAAAGCCCAGGAGACCGGCCGTTTCAGAGATACTGGAACCGGCGCGCCTGGCACCGATGATCATACCACATTCAAAGTCGCTTATGTCACTCATTTTGCCCATCCTAACGTTCAATCAAACAGTAACTGAATGCCTGTCTGCCTGCTTTATGCCACATGACTCACTGTCTGTAGGCGCTAACCATTTCTATAAACTGGCCAATGAGTGTATATCTCAGCAGACAGTGAAGGCACCTTCAAAGATTATAGATTACTGACAGTAGGCAAAAGAACACCACTGTGGTCATATCAAGTGCAAGGCTTGCAGGTAAAGGTGCATTTAGAGAGCTGAAGACGTATAGCTATGTCTGATGTGGTTCAGTCCTATTAGGGTCAAGCTTGTTGCTATGAGGACTTATTAATAATAACTTGTGCAAAGACCTTGAGCATCAGAATGAAGGGTATGTACTGTAGCTGGTTCATAAATCAGGTGACCAAATGACTGTAGTGGTGCCTGGGTGTCAGGCCAGGTCTTACTAAACTGGCTAGTTATCATCGTCTCTGTATGTAGCTTGCAAACTAGATAGCTAACAATTGTATCTTACGTTTGCACATGTATACTATTATTAAATAAGACTTTGTATGTAGCGGAGTAAGGCTTAGAAGCTATAGCTGTCTGGCTACCCAAGAGAGCTGTAAAAGTCAGCTGAGCTAACGTTAGCTAGCTAGTTAGCTTAGCTCGCTCTGCAGGCCTGTTGTATTCATCTTGCAGCTGACACACAGCAACGTAACAATACAGGACAAAACGCATATAATCAATAACACCAAGCTACGGTTGCTTGTCCTTACCTGCTGAGATGTGAGCTCAACGTGCAAGGATCGAGAAGATGAGGCTCCAGAGTTGACAGAGACGGCGGGGACAGGGTGATCCCGACCGGTGATGGAGTTCATTCTCCTATCGGCACCAGAGGCGTTCATTCAACAAAACATCTCATCCCTGCCACCGATCAATCCCAGATCCTGTACATCTAGATTTACCTTCTACGACAGAAATGTATGCATTGGTGTTGCTAACGTTAGTACGAAAACAGCACTCTTGAAGCTGTCAGTTAGCAAGCTAGCTAGCTAGCTACGTGACATAAACAATGTAGGAACTACTCAGGTAGCTATCGGTCTGTTAGAGGGGAGCACCAGTAGATCACTGATTGGTCCACGGCTGTGTCTGTCAAATGAATGGGTTACTCGCCGTTGGATTTATCCATTCTATTTGTCGAATATAATGTAAATCACAAAGAAAGGGGCGGAGCGGCCGACCTCTAGAGCTGCAGTAGGAGGAAGTGGATGTTTATGTATGGTGACCAATGATGTATACATCGCTGATGGTGACAACAAAGATTTTTATAACTAAAACAAGATATTCAACAGCCTGTCGTTTCCAAAGGGAACAAATGAGTCATAGTGGGCAGATCAAGCAAGGAGGTGGGCAGAGCCAAGCACGAGCTAGCGAGATCCTATTGGCGCGTTTTAGCATCATCTGCATATTTCCGTTAGGGAACGCCTACTCAGTGAAGTGCGCGTGTGCAATAACTCAATTCGCCTTTGCACTCCATCTAAACAACGCGATTTTTAAAAACTTTTGCAATGGGTAAAGTTTACAAAACCTAGTCCACTCTGTTCATAACAAATTATAGTTTTGGGAACAGAAAACTGTTTTGAAATCAAATTTTTGCAGAGTGTAGGCCAAATTCCATCTTCTCCCACTGCCGACCAGTGGGCTTTTTCTCACTACCATATATGGTAGTGATCAGAAACGCCAAGCGGATGCTTCACATTTATACATCCGGCGAAATATCTGTCTCATTGTTTTATCTGTGGTGACAATGCACTCAACCAGAGATACTCTATATAATGACGAGATGGTGTTATCTAACATTGGGAGTCGTTGGCCGTGTTCAAGAGCATAAAATCCATGATGCATTGTGGATAAATGTGACTGACTGATCTACAAATAATAATGAGTAGTTATTTATGGTGCAAAATGATTTGTAGATTAGTCAGTCGGCAGTCGCCTGCAATGTCGAACAAGCTGGTTGTCACAAAGGCGGAAAGGCAAACAGGGGCAGGCGAGATCAGGTGGGAACATTCTAGCCCAATGAGAGGGTAGATACGCATGTAAACAACTGATATAAAATAGTTTTTCTCAAAGTTGCCTAGATGCCACGTGCGTCCAATTATATCAGTACAAACTAAACATGATTTAACTTCTATTAAATGAAATAAGCCTCACTTAACAATCACATTTTTTATTGACCAAATCCGACACGCTCATAGACCACACAAAAAAAGTGGAGTGGAGCCTCTATTTAGGCTCATATTCGAAAATGTAATTAGCAGGTAGCTTAGTGGTTAAGAGCGTGTGCCAGTAACCGAAAGGTTGCTGGTTCTAATCCCCGAGCCAACTAGGTGAAAAATCTGTGGATGTGCCCTTGAGCAAGGCACTTAATCCTAATTGCTCCTGTAAATCGCTCTGGATAAGAGCGTCTGCTAAATGACTAAAAAATAAATAAAATCTCTAGCTGGTACCTTTGCTAACAGGTCAATTTAAAGAAATGTTGCCAATTTATTAATTACTACATTTAGCTAACATTAGATAGTTAATCCAGAGATTCTTACCTTTGCCTTGATTCGGCAGTCTCCTCCAGATCCTCATGGCATTTGTAGTTCTTTATGATAGCCACATTAGCAGTTAATTAGCATTTCAATTGTTGGGGGTAAATACAGGCAAATATATTGATAAAAGTCACCTTGTCCAAGAGAGATTTACACAGTTATCAAAACCTCAGGCCAGGGTAAACCTACATGAAACACAGTCCTTATTTTAAGTGTTTCAAAAATGTATGGTAGAAAAACAATTGGAACCATTTCTGACTGCTAGGTTTTATGTGTATTATGACTCATACTGTGGGACTCTATTGTATGGACCTCCAGCAATCACAAAATAAAGCACCAATCAACCTAGCCTTCAAACTTGCACAAGGTGGCAGAATCACATGACTAGAAACAGTATCAATTCAACAGTCAACAACCTTTTATCAATTAGATTTGCTCACCTCCTGTGTCCTCTCTCCTCAGTCAAGGAGATAAGGAAATAAGGAAGAAAGTGGAGCATATTATGAATAAACATGGCGTGGGGATTACACAGGCCTTCTGAAAGATCTGGTGAAGGAGAAGATGATGGACAAGAATGAAAGGAGAACAGTGGAAATGGTTATGAGGGAATATGGAATGAGGGATTTCACTGATCTTTTGGAAGAACTTGAGGAAATGGAGAGGGATGAGAGTGAGGATGAATTAGATGTGGTGGCATGTGCAGTGATGACTGTTGAGAAGAAGTTGAATGTAGAGGGAAGCAGTGTGGAGAGGAAGGTTAGCATCAAGTGCAACAAGAGGGGTATGTGATCCAGTAGCTCAGAGATGGAACCTGATGAGAGTGTGGATGAAGTTCCTGCAATGAAGACCGCCAAGGTCGGGCCTCAGTCCGAGGATGTAAAGGATGATTCTGTCCCAGTGGGAGTAAGATTTGTGGAGAGAATGGATCCTTGCATTTTGTCTGATCCATATGTGGTAGTAGGTTGGGTGGAGAAGAGGTTGGGGACTGTTGAGTTGGTGAAAGTAACTAGCAGTGGACTAGTGATGATTTATTGTGTTTCTTCAACCCAGAGGGAGCGGGCGCTCCGGATCACGCGATTAGGGAAAATAAATGTGACTTGCTTTGCTCTCCCGAGCAGGGCACCATTGAAAGGAGTGAACGGGGGTGGCATTAAATGTTGAGGAAGATCAGTTGATTGATCAGATTCCCGGTGTCTGTGACATTCACTGTTTGGTGCAACGCAGATCTGGTTGAGAGCGTGGGGAAATAAAGAGCGTTGTCTGTCCTGCTGAGTTTTGAAGAAGTATTTTCCAGATAAGGTTAAGTTATCCCGTGAGAGCGTTTGTTCCTAAAATACTTAGGTGTTTTAGGTGTCAAGTTTATGGGCATGTTGCAGCAGTATGTAGGAGGGAGAGTCCTAGATGTGAGAAGTGTGCAGGAGGGCATGACATGAAGGAATGTGTAGTTTCGGTGGAGAAAGTTGTGGGGGTGCCCATGGAGCTCGGCGGTGTACGGCGAGAGAAAGGCAGGTTGAGGTTGCAAGGGTCAGAGTAGTACCGAAAGTGTCTTATGCTGAAGTAGTGAAGAGAGTGGGAGAGGAAGATGGGTCCAGGGTGAGGGATCCTGAGAGGATTCCTGTGAGTAGGCAGAGACTAATAGAGAGTGATGGGAAGAATATGTGCTTCAGTAAGGTAGGTTTCTTGGCATTCATAGCTATGGTTGTCAATTGTACTGCAGAAATGGATCGAAAGTCATAGAAAATAGAGGTTGTGGTGGCAGCGGCAGAGAAATGCATGGGATTGCGAGGTTTTACTGCAGAACAGTTGCAGGGGGTGTTGAGTGTTAGTGTTCAGTTGGTCTGGAGTATGATTAGATAGGGTAAATAGTGGAATGGGGTAGTGTGTTTGTTTTTTGTTTTTTTAGAGAGGGCTAATAGTTGGCAGGGTAATTTTTCCTTTTCCCCAATTTTATAGTACTGTATCACAAACATTTTAATGTAGGTAGGCCGTGAATGGCCTCACACTCCAGTACAGTAGGTAACAGTGTATGCGCCTTAAATTGGATGCGATCCGCCAACACAATCCCGAAGAAGGGGGAGTGTGGTAGATTTCAAAACTCTTCTGTGGTAGGATACACAAGTATCTTCAATGAAAGGTGGCTATTGAGGAGGGGAGGACACGCCTAATAACGAATTGACACACTCCTTGACCACTCAACCACTTATCGGTTTCCGGGTCACGGAGGAGAGTGGACCGAGGACAGTCTTTTGCACAAACGAGATAACCCCCTGGTCTTTGAACAGCATGGCATCTCTTTTGCAATACATTTTGCATAGGCCTACTGTTTCCTTTTCAAGTAATAAGAGGTAGATAGCTAAATGACACATGACAAAATGACAGTTGAGCAGTAGCCTATTTGTCATTAATTCATCACTCATTGTTTGTGCATCTACTTACATTTTTGATCTCACAAAATATTCAAGGTGTTTTCATGAACATCGCTCATGTACAAGAAATGGACCTACTCAACTCTTATGTTGTGATGTAGAGAGACAGTAGGGGATTATCACCCAGTAAATCAAGTATCATTGGATGATCTTAATCTGGAATTAGGTGTCTTTTGTACTAACCAGAGTCCGTAAAAAAGCCATGGAATGTGTTTTAAGAGACCATTTTGATGTTCTCTATCATTTGAGGAGTTGTGTGCATGCATCAATGCATAGTTCCCCCAACCCTAGGACATTTGGTGTGTTTAGGATAATGTCTACAAATGCCTTATTTTATCGCTTGAGCAAAATTACATTCTGGCATTGTGATGTCGCCGTGGGACTGAAAAATAGTTAACACAGACATGTACAAGTTTTATTCTGAAAACATACAAACGTTTCATTTCAATAGACTGATTGTGATGAAGCCATTCATTCACAACATAAAAGGCATTGGCTGCTATTTATTGCTATATTTATTGCACATGAATTAGGAGAGCCCCATGTTCACTGCTCTTTGCATAAAGTCACCGGTGAAGCTAGAAGAAATTACATTTTGAATGACACTTCTATTTATCACCAACCTCAAGATTTCACCACATGGCAAAATAATTGTAGTCTTTTTATCTTGCATAATATACAACCTACATACATTTCTGCATCTAGGATAATTGGCAGGATGGTAGACTTGATTCTGTGCTTGATATGCCCAATATTAAAAAAGTATTTATCTCAAACACTTCTTGGTAATTACCAGGGGAGTTCGTGACTTGTATACTCTATATTCAAATCTGTGATAGCAACCCTTTTGCCATTTTACTGAAATTAGTGGAACCCCCCTAAGAAGTTTGCATTGTAGTTATTTTTTTTTATGAGCATATGCTTTGCAATCCCTTCCTTTTCATTTCATTCATCAGTTATCTGCCCTCTGTATAGAGGAATCATTTGTCTTCACCCTGAAATTGTTCTTACATCACCAACATCTTCAACCTTCAAATACTACAGTACATGGGGCCTCAAGGCTCTAGATAACACTCTGAAGCCCAGTCAATACACTCACATGTGGAGAAATGTAAGAGAAAACAAAAACAAAGAAGGTCAAGGTTAAATGACAAAAGCACCACAGTGATTCTCTTTGAAATTGGCAATTATGTTGAAAAAAGCTAATTTGACATAGGAATCTTTCAAAGGCACGTTTTAGAGTATTTATATTATTATTATTATAGAGAAATACCTCAGAGGGTTGTCACAAATACAAAAAGTGCATCTATATATTAATTTTCATTGAGAAAAAAAAATAGCTTTTTCTTATTTACAAAATACAATTAATACTTAGTGCCATCGCACAATCTAAACCATTCAATAGAATTCCTTCACCTTCAAGTTTCAATGATGTGTGTGGGGAGGGGACACCCATCAGCTCTTTGGCTCAATAAACCACACTGTATCAACGTCTTAGTGAGGTAATACCCTTACAATTGCATTGTTTGTGCATTTAGCAAAACATTTTTATGAAGGGCTCAAAACGTCATCCTATATTTAGCTTTTAGGGCACTTAACACATTCTTTGTACAGGCCTATTCTAAGGGACAATTACATGGATGCATTGAGGAAACAAAGATGGTGCTTGTGTGTGTGTCTCGTGTAACCTTCTAGTGCCACCTAGAGGGAGTTCCACTGCACATTAAAGCAAGGGATCGAACCTTATCAAACTATACTAATCTTTTATGTCACGGAACACATCTATAGATGTGTCATATGCTCAATAAAACATTCAATAAATGGAAGTTAGTCAACTTTGCCTTTGACAGTGACTAGGTCAGAGAGAATAGTAAGGTGACCTAAAACCTGCCATTTTCATCCTGAGTGGAGGAGGGACGTGAGTGATGCTGAGAGCGTGGTGGGTTTATATATACACACAACTTTATGTATATCGATTGAATTCCAGAGACAATCAATCAGAGCCAGGCACATGAATGGAGGGGGCGGGGCTGAACAGACAGCTGCCACAGCTGCCCCTTTCTCTCTTTTCTCATTGGATGTGCAGGATGTCACTCTCCTTCAGGCTGAAGTGGGTCTTATACTTGTCAAAGAGGCTCCTGAGGGAATTGATGTACATGGCATGGTACAGGTCCACCATATCCTGAGGAGGCTGCTCAATCTTTGGCACTGTGATCGGTTCACCCACTAAGACAAATAAACATGTGAAAATCAATATCCCCAAAATCAACTTTAAAAAACATTTAACCTATTGGAAATGTTGTAGTTTGATGAGCTGTAGTGTTAAACATTAATACAGCCTTGATGCAGGGGAGAGTAAATATTGACTGTGTGGATGGTTCTGTTAACACAGAGGAACTAGAGTAGCTCAACGGCTTGGTAGTAACCATAACAGTCCGATCATTGAAATTATATAAGGCCACAGACCATCCTAAAACGGAATCCCTAACAGAAACTAAGTCAACCAGCACTAAATGCCTGTGAGAGATGGGATTGAAAAGGGAGGATAAATAACTGGAAACGTTCTAAGTTTACCAGTAAACTACAAGGATTTTATGTTAATCTATCACAAGACATCTAGAGGCTCTTTCGGGTACTTCTGATTATCACAGGCGTCTGTAATCATCTCTGGCCCTCTGTGTGGACTAATAACATGTCAAAATACTAAATAAGATGATACAACATTTTGAATGACATAGCCGTAAAACATTATCCTAAATATAAACCCATCAACTAAGAGAATAGCATTGGTTTTTAATATGAGGATTTCAGCATGAAATATCCTTTTAAATATATATTTTTTTACACACTGTCAATATGAATTTGCTGTCAATGTTTTGGTGTCAAACTGGTGGCAGTTGTGAACACAGTCAATCGTTGGAAGAGTTGCAGAGTTCATTTATAATAATGTTAATTAAATGCTTTTTTCATCAATTTTTTTATTTTATTTTTTTATTTCACCTTTATTTAACCAGGTAAGCCAGTTGAGAACAAGTTCTCATTTACAACTGCGACCTGGCCAAGATAAAGCAAAGCAGTGCGATAAAAACAACAACACAGAGTTACATATGGGGTAAAACAAAACAAAGTCAAAAATACAACAGAAATAAATATATATACAGTGTGTGCAAATGTAGCAAGTTATGGAGGTAAGGCAATAAATAGGCTATAGTGCAAAATAATTACAATTAGTATTAACACTGGAATGATAGATGTGCAAGAGATGATGTGCAAATAGAGATACTGGGGTACAAATGAGCAAAATAAATAACAATATAGGGATGAGGTAGTTGGGCGGGCTAATTTCAGATGGGCTGTGTACAGGTGCAGTGATCGGTAAGGTGCTCTGACAACTGATGCTTAAAGTTAGTGAGGGAGATAAGTGTCTCCAGCTTCAGAGATTTTTGCAATTTGTTCCAGTCATTGGCAGCAGAGAACTGGAAGGAATGGCGGCCAAAGGAGGTGTTGGCTTTGGGGATGACCAGTGAGATATACCTGCTGGAGCGCATACTACGGGTGGGTGTTGCTATGGTGACCAATGAGCTAAGATAAGGCGGGGATTTGCATAGCAGTGATTTATAGATGGCCTGGAGCCAGTGGGTTTGGCGACTAATATGTAGTGAGGACCAGCCAACAAGAGCGTACAGGTCACAGTGGTGGGTAGTATATGGGGCTTTGGAGACAAAACGGATGGCACTGTGATAGACTACATCCAATTTGCTGAGTAGAGTGTTGGAGGCTATTTTGTAAATGACATCGCCGAAGTCAAGGATCGGTAGGATAGTCAGTTTTACGAGGGCATGTTTGGCAGCATGAGTGAAGGAGGCTTTGTTGCGAAATAGGAAACCGATTCTAGATTTAACTTTGGATTGGAGATTCTTAATGTGAGTCTGGAAGGAGAGTTTACAGTCTAACCAGACACCTAGGTATTTGTAGTTGTCCACATACTCTAGGTCAGAACCGTCGAGAGTAGTGATTCTAGTCGGGTGGGCAGTTGCAAGCAGCGTTCGGTTGAAGAGCATGCATTTAGTTTTACTAGGGTTTAAGAGCAGTTGGAGGCTACTGAAGGAGTGTTGTATGGCATTGAAGCTTGTTTGGAGGTTTGTTAACACAGTGTCCAATGAAGGGCCAGATGTATACAAAATGGTGTCGTCTGCGTAGAGGTGGATCTGAGAGTCACCAGCAGCAAGAGCGACGTCATTGATATAAACAGAGAAAAGAGTCGGCCCAAGAATTGAACCCTGTGGCACCCCCATAGAGACTGCCATAGGTCCAGACAACAGGCCCTCCGATTTGACACATTGAACTCTATCAGAGAAGTAGTTGGTGAACCAGGCGAGGCAGTCATTTGAGAAACCAAGGCTATTTAGTCTGCCAATAAGAATGCGGTGGTTGACAGAGTCGAAAGCCTTGGCCAGGTCAATGAAAACGGCTGCACAGTACTGTCTATTATCGATCGCGGTTATAATATCGTTTAGGACCTTGAGCGTGGCTAAAGTGCACCCATGACCAGCTCGGAAACCGGATTGCATAGCGGAGAAGGTACGGTGGGATTCGAAATGGTCAGTGATCTGTTTGTTAACTTGGCTTTCAAAAACTTTTGAAAGGCAGGGCAGGATGGATATGGGTCTGTAACAGTTTGGATCTAGAGTGTCACCCCCTTTGAAGAGGGGGATGACCGCGGCAGCTTTCCAATCTCTGGGGATCTCAGACGTTACGAAAGAGAGGTTGAACCGGCTAGTAATAGGGGTTGCGACAATTTCGGCGGCTAGTTTTAGAAAGAAAGGGTCCAGATTGTCTAGCCCAGATGATTTGTAGGGGTCCAGATTTTGCAGCTCTTTCAGAACATCAGCTGTCTGGATTTGTGTGAAGGAGAAGCGGGGGGACATGGGCAAGTTGCAGTGGAGGGTGCAGAGCTGGTGGCCGGGGTAGTGGTAGCCAGGTGGAAAGCATGGCCAGCCGTAGCAAAATGCTTGTTGAAATTCTCGATTATTGTAGATTTATCGGTGGTGATAGTGTTTCCTAGCCTCAGTGCAGTGGGCAGCTGGGAGGAAGTGCTCTTATTTTCCATGGACTTTACAGTGTCCCAAAACTTTTTGGAGTTAGTGCTACAGGATGCACATTTCTGTTTGAAAAAGTTAGCCTTTGCTTTCCTAACTGCTTGTGTATATTGGTTCCTAACTTCCCTGAAAAGTTGCATATCGCGGGGGCTATTTGATGCTAATGCAGTACGCCACAGGATGTTTTTGTGCTGGTCAAGGGCAGTCAAGTCTGAGGAGAACCAGGGGCTATATCTGTTCTTAGTTCTGTATTTTTTGAATGGGGCATGTTTATTTAAGATTGAGAGGAAATTACTTTTAAAGAACAACCAGGCATCCTCTACTGACGGAATGAGATCTATATCCATCCAGGATACCTGGGCCAGGTCAATTAGGAAGGCCTGCTCGCTGAAGTGTTTTTGGGAGCGTTTGACAGTGATGAGGGGTGGTCGTTTGACAGCGGACCCGTTACCGGACGCAGGCAATAAGGCAGTGATCGCTGAGATCCTGGTTGAAGACAGCGGAGGTGTATTTAGAGGGTAAGTTAGTCAGGATGATATCTATGAGGGTACCCATGTTTACGGATTTAGGGTTGTACCTGGTAGGTTCGTTGATAATTTGTGTGAGATTGAGGGCATCTAGTTTAGATTGTAGGATGGCCGGGGTGTTAAGCATATCCCAATTTAGGTCACCAAGCAGTACGAACTCTGAGGATAGATGGGGGGCAATCAATTCACATATGGTGTCCAGGGCACAGCTGGGGGCTGAGGGGGGTCTGTAGCAAGCAGCAACAGTGAGAGATTTATTTCTGGAAATGTGGATTTTTAGAAGTAGAAGCTCAAACTGTTTGGGCACAGACCTGGATAGTATGATAGAGCTCTGCAGGCTATCTCTACAGTAGATTGCAACTCCACCCCCTTTGGCAGTTCTATCTAGACGGAAAATGTTATAGTTGGGGATGGACATTTCAGAATTTTTGGTGGCCTTCCTAAACCAGGATTCAGACACTGCTAGAACATCAGGGTTGGCGGAGTGTGCTAACGCAGTGAATAACTCAAACTTAGGAAGGAGGCTTCTGATATTTACGTGGATATTTAGGCTATTGAACCATATGGTCTATCTACTAGAAACTCATGGACAATATGGACACAGATATAATATATTAATACTATATATGAATACATTTTTCAAAAGTTATTCAAGTACAAATTACCAAAGTTATGATAGATTAACAGAAAATCTATGGCAATTACCAAAATTACTAAAGATTCCGGTAAATTTGTTAAATTATCGGTAGCTTTGCAACCCTAGTGAGACTTTGTCAGTAGGGTCTTGGAGAGGGTTTTACTTACCGATGGTTGTGATGGGTTTGTTGTAAGGCACCATTCCCCAGGAGTCGGAGGAGAAGAGGCCACAGCCATGGAACAGACAGGGAGCAAAGCCCAGAATCTTCTGCAGCCGCTTCTGAGCCAGCCGCCACGCGGTTCTCTCCTCAAAGATCACCTGCTTGTACACATCGTTCTCCCCAAAGGAGTAGACTGGTACCAGGTCAGACCTGACAGAGAGAGGGGGTTTACATTAGTCTCCTGAAGTTACTCATAGGGCATAACAGATATCATCTGATCGCTGAATGATGGGCTACTAAACCATGTGGTCTATGCTACACCAGTTTACCCAGACTTTGTTCTCAGTAGCTCAGTTGGTAAAGCATGGTGCTTGCAACGCCAGGATAGTGGGTTCGATTCATGACTGTAAGTCGCTTGGGATAAAAGCGTCTGATAAATGGCATTTATTATACTGAAAAAAAATACAAACGCAACATGCAACAATTTCAAAGGTTTTACTGAGTTACAGTTCATATAAGGAAATCAGTCAATTGAAATAAATTCATTAGACTCTAATCTATGGATTTTACATGACTGGGAATACAGATATGCATCTGTTGGTCACAGATACCTTTAAAAAAAAAGTAGGGGTGTGGATCAGAAAACTATTCAGTATCTGGTGTAACCACCTCATGCAGCATGGCACATCTCCTTTGCATGGCGGTGGGTGAATGGCATGACAATGGGCCTCAGGATCTCGTCACGGTATCTATATGCATTCAAATTACCATAGATAAAATGCAACTGTATTCGTTGTCTGTAGCTTATGCCTGCCCATACCATAACGCCACCATGGAGCACTCTGTTCACAACGTTGACATCAGCCAACTGATCGCCCACACGACATCATACACGTGGTCTGCAGTTGTGATGCCGGTTGGACGTACTGACAAATTCTCTAAAATTACGTTGGAGGCGGCTTATGGTAGAAAAATTAGCAATCATTTCTCTGGCAATAGCTCTGGTGGACATTCCTGCAGTCAGTATGCCAATTGCACGCTCCCTCAAAACTTGAGACATCTGTGGCATTGTGTTGTGTGATAAAAACTTTACATTTTAGAGTGGCTTTTTATTGTCCCCAGCACAAGGTGCACCTGTGTATTGATAATGCTGTTTAATCAGCTTCTTGATATGCCATACCTGTCAGGTGGATGGATAATCTTGGCAATGGAGAAATGCTCACTAGCAGGAATGTAAACAAATTTGTGCACAAAATCTGAGAGAAATAAGCTAATTGTGTGTATGGAAAATTTCCTGGGATCTTTTATTTCAGCTCATGAAACATGGGACCAACACTTTACATGTTGCGATTATATTTTTGTTCAGTGTATATTATATATAATTCTCAGCTTGTTCTAAATCACAAGCTGATGGAGCCTGTCCTTTGGCCTTGACCCAGTGTCTGTGTACTGCATGTCAGGAGGAGCTCTGAGAACTTGAGGACCAATTACCACACCTGAAAGTATGTTTTATGTGCCAATCAAACCTATTGTTGAGCTAACTCAGTAAGGTCTCTCACATCAAAACATATAGTCTGATCAGCTGATGTGTGTAACCGAGAGGTGTGTGTGACCGGAAGGTGCGTGTGTCAGGATGGTGTATGTGTGTCTAGGGCTGTTGCGGTCACGAGTCATGAAGGCAGTCAAATTCCACGTGACCATTTAGTCACGGTAATTAGGCTTCTCCTAGCTCTGATGCTGCTGATGGTCATTAGTAGCCTACCAAACTTGCTAACTGCCTGATACTCAGCACTCTATTGTCCCTCTAATCACTCTGACATAAATGCAAATGTGATCAAACACTTCATGAGAGCACATGAGCTCATGTTGCGCAACATTTCTATAGTTTTGATGGACTCTATTAAAAAGAGGAGGATCCCATCACCTTTCTATAGGCTAGGCCTGCTATTTATCAACTTTCCTAAAATTAAGCGTATTGCTTCGCTTTACAACAGGAGTATAGCCTACCTGGCTGGCATGAAAATTAATCACAGGAAAAGCGTCCTCCATTCGCTATTTAAGTGCATAGATTACATGTATTTTTTCCCACTGCCCCTGTTTCGAGACAGGTGCATGATAATGGTCCATTCTAAATCAAATTTCACACATATATTATTTAGTATATGTAAAGACAAGATGAAATCAAGAATAGTCTGATGGGTGACAATATTAGCCTATCGCTTGTGAATTATATAATATCACTTGTGAATGATACCCAGCATAAGAAACTGCGTCCGAAGTCTCCTCCGCACACCCCGGCCGGTCCTGACAGTAGGTCCGCAGGAACCTACCCACATCTTCAGTCACCCTTTCCACCTGCCCATTACTCTCGGGGTGAAAACCAGAGGTCAGGCTGACCGAGACCCCCAGACGTTCCATGAACTTCTTCCAGACTCTAGACGTGAACTGGGGACCTCGGTCTGACACTATATCCTCTGGTACCCCGTAGTGCCGGAAGACGTGAGTAAACAGAGCCTCCACAGTTTGTAGGGCTGTGGGGAGACCGGGCAGAGGAAGGAGGCGGCAGGACTTTGAAAAGCAGTCCACAACGACCAGGATAGTGGTGTTACCTTGGGAGGGGGGAAGATCAGTGAGAAAATCAATACTCAGGTGAGAACATGGTCGTTGTGGAACTGGTAAAGGTTGTAGCTTACCCGCTGGGAGGTGCCTAGGTGCCTTACTCTGGGCACACACTGAGCATGAGGAAATACACCCTCACGTCCTTAGCCAAGGTAGGCCACCAGTACTTCTCGGTCAGGCAGCACATTGTACAACCGATACCTGGATGACCAGAGGAGGGTGACATGTGTGCCCAGTAGATCAGACGATCACGGATAAGCGCAGGCACGTACTGCAGCCCAGCTGGACACTGCGGTGGAGTTGGATCTGTGCGTAATGCCTGCGCTATATCTGCGTCCATCGCCCATACTACCGGCGCCACAATGCATGAGGCCGGGAGTATGGGGGTGTAGTCTCTGGGCCTCTCCTCTGTGTCATACAGCCGAGACAGTGCGTCTGCCTTCACGTTCTTCGTACCCGGAATGTATGAGAGTTTGAAATCAAACCGGGTGAAGAAGAGGGCCCACCTGGCCTGGCGAGGATTCAGCCTCCTCGCTGCCCGAATGTACTCCAGGTTACGGTGGTCTGTCCAGATGAGGAAAGGGTGTTTCGCCCCTTCGAGCCAATGTCTCCACACCGTCAAAGCTCGGACAACAGCCAACAGCTCCCGATCACCAATGCCGTAGTTCTGAGCTTCTTAGAAAAGAAGGCACAGGGGCGGAGCTTGGGTGGCGTGCCCGAGCGTTGGGATAAGAAAGCTCCCTACCTCGGACGCATCCACCTCCACTACGAACGGTAGTGATGGATCGGGGTGAGCCAGTACCAGGGCTGAGGTGAACAGACCCCGCAATCTACTGAATGCCAAATCAGCCTCAGCAGACCAGCAGAGCCGGGACGGCCCACCCTTCAACAAGGAGGTAATGGGAGCTCGACCTTGCCAAAGCCCCGAATAAACCTTCGATAGTAGCTGCACCTCCTTTACCATGGTTGGAGTCGGCCAATTACGCATGGCTGCAATGCGGTCTCCCTCCATCTCCACACCTGTGGTGGTAATGCGATATCCGAGGAAGGAGATTGACTGCTGGAAAAACTCACACTTCTCTGCCTTTGCATAAAGATCATTTTCCAGCAGTCGGACCAGTACTTTGCGAACCAGGGACACATGCTCGGCGCGCATAGCGGAATACACCAGGATGTCATCGATGTAGACCACCACACCGCGGCCAAGCATGTCCCGAAACACCTCGTTCACAAAGGACTGGAAAACGGATGGAGCATTCATCAAACCGTAGGGCATCACCAGGTATTCATAATGCCCCGAGGTTGTGCTAAATGCTGTTTTCCACTCATCCCCTTCCCGAATACGCACCAGGTTGTAGGCACTCCTGAGGTCTAATTTGGTGAAAAAACGGGCCCCATGCATTGACTCGATCACTGAAGGAATGAGGGGAAGAGGATAACTAAATCGTACCGTCACATTATTCAGTGGTCGATAATCAATGCACGGGCGTAAACCGCCATCTTTCTTCTTCACAAAGAAGAAACTTGAGGAGGCAGGTGAAGTGGAGGGACGTATATACCCCTGGCGCAGGGACTCGGTGACGTATATTTCCATAGCCTCCGTTTCAGCCTGCGACAGGGGATACACAAGACTCCTGGGAGGTACAGCATCTACCCGAAGGTTTATCGCGCAATCCCCCTCCTGATGAGGTGGTAATTTAGTCGCTTGCGTCTTGGAAAACGTGAGCGCCAGATCATGGTATTCGGGGGGAATGCGCACGGTGGGGGTACCGTCTGGACTTTCACCGTGGTCGCACCAACGGAAACACCTAGACACCTACCCGGACACTCACGCGACCAACCCGTAAGAACCCTCTGCGGCCATCAGAAATTGGGGTTGTGAAGCGCTAACCACGGGATACCCAAGACTACAGGGTAAGCAGGAGACTCAATAATCATAAAGGTGATCTGCTCAACATGTGTCTCCTGCGTAATCATGGTGACTGGTAGCGTAACTTCCTTAACCAACCCGGACCCTAATGGTCGACTATCTAGTGCTCTGATGGGTAGTGGAATGGTTAGGGGAACCAATGAAATGCCTTGACGGTGTGCAAATGCCCTGTCCATAAAATTCCCAGCTGCGCCTGAATCGACTAGCGCCTTACACTGGGAACCTACCAAGTGATTGGGAAAGGAGATAGATAAAGTACAGTGCGCCGCAAAGGGCTCTGAACACGTTTGGGTGTTCGTTACCTGGGGTGATGCGTGAGTACCCTGCCTACCGCCTCCAGACCCAAAAGAACGTTGACTGCGATGTGAGGTGGATTGTCCCTTCGTGCAAGTGGCACTGTCGCTGTCCTCCTGCGCTCTCTCGACCGGCGGCTCCCCCCAGCTCCATCTGCTCGGGGTCAGAGTCATCCGGAGTGGGAACGGGCAGACCCCTACCAGGACGTCCTCTGGCTGCTAGCAGATTGTCCAGCCGGATGGCCATGTCCACCAGTTGGGAGAACGATAGCATGGCATCCCGGCAGGCGAGCTCCCGTCTGACGTACTCCCTTAGGTGGCACTGGAAATGGTCTATCAGGGCCCGCTCGTTCCACCCGGACCCCGCTGCCAGCGTCCAGAACTCCAGCACGTAGTCCTGAGCGGTCCTCGTCCCCTGCCTCAGATGAACCAATTGTTCGCCCACCTCTCGAGGACGGATACCTTCTCCCGCTCCCAGGGCTCCGGCCTGATGCTGGAGAAATACAACTTCAGTTGGAGTAGGAATCCCTTACATCGCGCTGCAGTCCCATCAAACGCCCATCAATCTGGATCCCTCCAGGGGCTGGGGTGTAGGTGGCTGGATCCGGTTGACCAGCTGGTCTCGATAGATCGGATCCTCTCCTCTCCAGGCGTTCTACCACCTGAAGAACCCGATCCAACATCGAGGAATGCTCCTGGACCCTTGCCACAACTCCAGGCATACGGTCTTCTCCTGCCGACTCCATATCAGATCAGGTGAGTGATTCTGTGATGAGGTGTGAAAGAAGGAGTCAGGCGCAGGAGGTAAAATACCGAAGTCCAGAGTTTAATCCGTTTGCATAAATCAAACTCCCCAAGCGTCAAACGAAACTGTACAAGGGAAAACATCCACCTTGGCAATAACACAGTGAAATGTAGCTCAACCGAGCTACACGCTCTCGTAAGACAAGGGGAACAGAGGGCACACATACACATACTAATTAGGGGAATGAGCACCAGGTATGTGTGATTGACAAGACATGACAAGTGGGGTGATGAGAATGGGATCGGCAGTAGCTAGTACTCCGGTGACGACGAACGCCGAAGCCTGCCCAAACCAGGAGGGGGGGCAGCCTCGGCGGAAGTCGTGACAGTTCAACTGTATTCTTCATACTATAAAATAATATAAAATAATGCCATGGAATTCTAAGCAAATCTTGTCTGCTAAATGAAATAGTGTAGCCCACAACCATTTGGCATAGCCACATCAGGACCTAACATAAGGACAATTTAGAGTATGCTATTCTTTTCTTCTGAAATAGACTACATTTTCTTCATATCATGCTTCTTTAGACGTGTCTAAAATAAATAAAGGATTTATTGTGAAGGTGTAGGCTATATTACATGGATTTATTATACTTTTTAAAATGTAGATGTTCCAAAGGTCTGGATCAGTGGCTTGTAGGCTATGTGTGGAAGTCAGGAGATGCTAAATGTGTTTATGTTAATTAACGGTCAATTACCATGAGACCGACAGTTATTTGCTTGACAATCACTGGCTGACGAAATTTCATGACCGCCACAGCCCTGTGTGTAGGTGGGATGTTTGTACCCTAATCTCACCCTTGCTGGAGTGCCAACCTCACAAAGCCCTTGCGGTTATTCAGGGTGACAGAATTCATGCCTGGAGCACAGTTCAAAGATTCAGCTGCTCCCCCGACAACGATGACCACCGCGTTGCCAGTTCCATTCTGAGAGAGGAGGTAGTCAATGGCGTTACGGTTCACTGGGCAGATACCTGACACATGGAAGAGGATGGGGTTAGGCTCAGTAATCACACATGGGGCCCAAAGACCAAACAAGTCAGTGTGTTTGCAGTGGAGAACACATTTTAAGAGAAATCCATACTGGTTGAGCACAGAAACACATTCTTAGTGGATGTTGGGCAAAATAAAGCTTTGAAATGGAGATAAATAAGCTAACAGTGCAGGTTTCACCTGAAGCAGCTCCTTACAATAGTGACATCAGCAAATACAGTTTGGCAGGCACAGGGGCTGTTTCGTCTAGACTGGGCAATAGGACAAAGCTCAGAGTTCTACCAGATTAGAGTCGGTAGATACAGGGCTGGTATCAGCAGTTTACTGAGTACATAGGGGCAAAACTCAGAGAAACCATCTCACCTCCAGACATGAGATAGTCTCTAAAGACTGGCATCCGGAAGTTTCCAGCCAGCGTGGCCAGGGAAGGTTTGATGCCCGGGAACTTCTTAGAGAAGCCGGTGGCCTCTGTTCCGAAGTTACAGAAGGCTCCGAAAGCGAAGATCCCGTGGGGGTGGTAGCCAAAGATGTAGTTTCGGCTGGGCAGCAGGTTGTGTGTCTTGATGAGCTGGTAAACAGGATGATAAAGAGACATGGTGGTTACTATCACACTAAGCAGAACATAACTACAGAGTGTTTGTTAAGCAATTTGACAGGTCAGAGAATCTGCACAAAATTAAGCCATTTCAGTCGTGCAGTTATGATAACATTCAGATACGTTTTAGAACTTGTCTCAAGAGGTTAAAGGCCATTTCACTGTTCATTGTACTATATGTATTAGCATATTTCCCAGAAATTTGAACAGTTTATCAGTTTAGCCCTGATATGATGTATCTTGGCGGTCAAGTAATACAATAATTACAGGCAATAAACAGTGTTCTGTGTTTGGGATGTTTATCTACATGTTTCCCCTATTGTGAACAGCAGTTCCATTACAGAGCTTCAATATTCTTAAAAGTAGTTTCGAGTATGAGAAGGAGAGTGTAGGTTGCATAATGGTGGTGGACGAATTGTGTCTTCAGTGAAGTGGGTGGCCCAATCCCACTCTTATGGAAGAAATTGAAAGGGCACAGAGGATTAACACACAGATCCAAAGAGATGTGTACACAGGACTCTAGTCAAACAAGGCCCATTGCATAACCACATTATCAAAGACCATCTACTGTAAGGTTTCCACAGTGATAGCATGGTAGATGTAACGAGATGAACATTTGGTGACGAAAACAGGTGGCGTTTACAACTTGCATACAGTAAGTAGGAGAAATGGAAGAGAGAAGGAGACCTTGCTGACCCTGCAAGATGTAATAGTCACTGTCCCTGCATGCACTGGTACCAACCCAAAGAATTACTGTACTGTAAATCAAATAAAAGTTTATGGTTGAGTTATCGCAGGTGCAGCGAAATGCAGCAATACCTACCTAGAAATAAAAAAAATCCACACACATAATCAAATAAAAAAAAATAAATATATATATGTGATGAGCCATGACTAGAATACAGTATAGACATATGAAGTGAGTAAACATTATGTAAACCTTATTAAAGTGACCAGTGTTCAATGACTATGTACAGTTGAAGTCGGAAGTTTACCTACACCTTAGCCAAATACATTTAAAATCACTTTTTCACAATTCCTGACATTTAATCATAGTAAAAATTCCCTGTCTTAGGTCAGTTAGGATCACCACTTTATTTTAAGAATGTGAAATGTCAGAATAATAGTAGAAAAATGATTTATTTCATATTTTATTTATTTAATCACATTCCCAGTGGGTCAGAAGTTTAAATACACTAATTTAGTATTTGGTAGCATTGCCTTTAAATTGTTTAACTTGGGTCAAACAATAACAATAAGTTGTGTGAATCTTGGTCCATTCCTCCTGACAGAGCTGGTGTAACGGTTTGTAGGCCTCCTTGCTCGCACACGCTTTTTCAGTTCTGCCCACAAATTTTCTATAGGATTGAGGTCAGGGCTTTGTTATGGCCACTCCAATACCTTGACTTTGTTGTCCTTAAGCCATTTTGCCACAACTTTGGAAGTATGCTTGGGGTCATTGTCCATTTGGAAGACCCATTTGCGACCAAGCTTTAACTTCCTGACTGATGTCTTGAGATGTTGCTTCAATTTATCCACATAATTTTCCTTCCTCATGATGCCATCTATTTTGTGAAGTGCACCAGTCTCTCCTGCAGCAAAGCACCCCCACAGCATGATGCTGCCACCCCCGTGCTTCACGGTTGGGATGGTGTTCTCCGGCTTGCAAGCGTTCCCCTTTTTCCTCCAAACATAACGATAGTCATTATGGCCAAACAGTTCTATTTTTGTTTCATCAGACCAGAGGACATTTCTCCAAAAAGTATGATCTTTGTCCCCATGTGCAGTTGCAAACCGTAGTCTGGCTTTTTTATGGCAGTTTTGGAGCAGTGGCTTCTTCCTTGCTGAGTGGCCTTTCAGGTTATGTCGATATAGGACTCGTTTTACTGTGGATATAGATACTTTTGTACATGTATCCTTCAGCATCTTCACAAGGTCCTTTGCTGTTGTTCTGGGATTGATTTGCATTTATCACACCAAAGTAGGTTAATCTCTAGGAGACAGAACGCGTCTCCTTCCTGAGCGATATGACGGCTGCGTGGTCCCATGGTGTTTATACTTGCGTACTATTGTTTGTACAGATGAACGCGGTACCTTCAGGCGTTTGGAAATTGCTCCCAAGGAAGAACCAGACTTGTGGAGGTACAGTGAGGGAAAAAAGTATTTGATCCACTGCTGATTTTGTACGTTTGCCCACTGACAAAGAAATTATCAGTCTATAATTTTAATGGTAGGTTTATTTGAACAGTGAGAGAATAACAACAAAGAAATCCAGAAAAACGCATGTCAAAAATGTTATAAATTGATTGGCTGATTTCTTTTGATTTTCCCATGATGTCAAGCAAAGAGGCACTGAGTTTGAAGGTAGGCCTTCAAATACATCCACAGGTACACCAATTGACTCAAATGATGTCAATTAGCCTATCAGAAGCTTCTAAAGCCATTACATCATTCTCTGGAATTTTTCAAGCTGTTTAAAGGCACAGTCAATTTAGTGTACGTAAACTTCTGACCCACTGGAATTGTGATACAATGAATTCTAAGTGAAATAATCTATCTGTAAACAATTGTTGGAAAAATAACTTGTGTCATGCACAAAGTAGATGTCCTAACCGACTTGCCAAAACTATAATTTGTTAACAAGACATTTGGTGGAGTGGTTGAAAAACGAGTTTTATTGACTCCAACCTAAGTATATGTAAACTTCCGACTTCAACTGTACATAGGGCAGCAGTCTCTAAGGTGCAGGGTAGAGTACCGGGTGGTAGCCGGGTCTACAGACAATCACGGACTACAAAGGGAAAACCAGCCACGTCGCAGACACCGATGTCTTGCTTCCGGACAAGCCAAACACCTTCTTTGCCCGCTTTGAGGATAACACAGTGCCACTGACGCGGCCCGCTACCAAGGACTGTGGGCTCTCCTTCTCCGTGGCCGACGTGAGTAAGACATTTAAGCGTGTTAACCCTTGCAAGGCTGCCGGCCCAGACGGCATCCCTAGCCACGTCCTCAGAGCATGCGCAGACCAGCTGGCTGGAGTGTTTACGGACATATTCAATCTCTCCCTATCCCAGTCTGCTGTCCCCATTTGCTTCAAGATGTCCACCATTGTTCCTGTTCCCAAGAAAGCAAAGGTAACTGAACTAAATGACTATCGCCCCGTAGCACTCACTTCTGTCATCCTTAACTAGCCTTTGAGAGGCTAGTTAAGGATCATATCACCTCTACCTTACCTGACACCCTAGACCCACTTCAATTTGCTTACCACCCCAATAGATCCACAGATGATGCAATCGCCATCGCACTGCACACTGCCCTATCCCATCTGGACAAGAGGAATACCTATTTAAGAATGAATGATGGCCTGGAGATAGAAGCTGTTTCTCAGTCTCTCGGTCCCAGCTTTGATGCACCTGTACTGTCTCCTCCTTGTAGATGGTATGGGGGTGAACAGGCCGTGGCTCGGGTGGCTGAGGTCCTTGATGATCTTCTTGGCCTTCCTGTGACACCGGGTGCTGTAGATGTCCTGGAGGGCAGGTAGTATGCCCCCGGTGATGTGTTGGGCTGACCGCACCACCCTCTGGAGAGCCCTGTGGTTGTGGACGGTGCAATTGACAATCCAGGCAGTGATACAGCCCGACAGGATGCTTTCAAGAAGTTATTGAGTTTCTAGGGGCCAAGCTGAATTTCTTCAGCCTCCTGAGGTTGAAGAGGCGCTGTTGCGCCTTCTTCACCACGCTGTCTGTGTGAAGGGACCATTTCAGTTTGTCAGTGATGTGCACGCAGAGGAATTTGAAGCTTTTGACTCTCTCCACTGGGGCCCCGTCGATGTGGATGGGGGCGTGCTTTCTCTGTCTCCTGTAGTCCACGATCAGCTCCTTAGTTTTGTAGACGTTGAGGAAGAGGTTATTTTCCTGGCACCACTCCGCCAGGGCTCTCACATCCTCCCTGTAGGCTGTTTCATTGTTGTTGGTAATCAGGCCTACCACTGTTGCGTCATCAGCAAAATTGATGATTGAGTTGGAGACGTGTTGCCACGCAGTCATGGATGGTCGGTCCATCAAGAATTTCAGGACCCAGTTGCACAGGGAGGGGTTCAGACCCAGGGCCCTGAGCTTAGTGTAAGTCTCCAGTCGATGCAGAGACATGTTATCAGATATAAACTGTAATCATGTTATAATCAAACACATACATCATATTCAGCCTGCATCAGAGCTACACCATATGCACAAGTCTCCCAAAACGTGAAAATTATGGTGGGTGTATGGGCTAATTAGACCCACCGATAACCACTTTGACCGAGCCAGCTAGGCTGTAGGGTTCACAGTGAAGTGGTATTCCATTTTTTAGTTTGTGCAATTATGAGCCACCTGTATTTGTTTGTGTCTGATTTTGAGGCACGACTCATAACATACGAAATATCTACAAATTAAATGTTTAACTGTTACTGAGATTTCTCATTGGAATTTCATGCTTGTTTTATTATTTAAATGTAGAACATTAATTGCATCATTCTAGTCACTAGTGTGTCCCGAAATTGATGGGTTTATTGATCCCCTCGCCACTCTTGAAGTTTCGTCAGCAACACATGACAACAGAGGCCCTCCGAGTGAGTTGGTAGGGGCTGGTTTGGGACTGTTACGTTCCCAAGCAAGAAAATCAAAAATGTCACTCAAACAGAAGGGGGAACTAACAAAGAGTCACTGACAACAACCAAAACAAAACCGGTGGGGTTTTATGGAGGTGTCCACTGAAAGTTGCATAGCAACAACAACTGGGACATCTAACACCCATCATGAGCGCCCACTAAATGTGCCCACTAAGAGGCAAACAAAAGAAAAATCCACACCAAACTTAAAGACAGGAAGCAAACCAAAAAGGTGGAACGAAATGAAATCAGGAAAATCAGACAAAATCATGTTTTTCTAGAAATCAAATCGGGAGCGCCAACTAAAGGTGTTGACCCTCCACATCTCTCAAGACAACTGGAGCACTGGGCC